TTATTAGTGGAGGCTGTGCGAGGTGTGGAAAAGCGGGTGAAAGACTTCGGAGGGGGGAGAAGCGCTCGTAATTGACGGAAATGAGTTCCAGGAAAGTGTTGTATTGATTAATGGGATCGTCAGGATGAATGGAATTGATAGTTAGGGAGATAATACTAGAGTTATCTCGTAAATACTGTTTGACCTCCGCCCATTGAGATTTAGTAAGAGAGATCTTGTGCGAGAAGACAGACGACGTATGGACCATGCAGCTCACTCTAACTTCGATGGGATGGTGATCACTTCCGTGAAGGTCTGGAAGGACTTGTGCCTCACATAGGGAGGAGACGTGTGGCGAAGCAATGACTAATGCCCGTTTCCATCAAAGTCGTTCAAAATTTGAACCGAGTTTAAACTTCGATCAACGACATTTTGCGTTCCACCAACTTTTTAGAAGAAGTTCGAATCGGTTGAACGGCGTTCATTATGAACGCCCATTTTTGGTCGGTTAACAAGTTCGAACGTCGTTTAAGCAGAAGCCAACACGAAATATTTTAAGGTTATGTGCAATCTCTTCTTGATATAGAATATACAAAAAAAACGAGTATTATGGCATATTACAATATTTTATCATCATCTGACGACGATGAAGATATAATCCGGTAAAAACATTTATAATATTGTATATGTTTATGAATATTTATACATGTTATTTATATGTATTTATGTATATTTCGTATATGAAAAATTTTTTACCGGGATATATCGACAGAAGACCCAAAAGATTTAAACAACGCATGAACTATTTTGACGATTTGGACGATATCGAATTTAAAATGAGATTTCGCCTAAACAAAAACAGCGTTCTTCTAATATTAAACCACATAGAAGAAGTATTAATATTTCGATCAAACAAGTATGTATATCTTTATTATTATTTTATTATCCTTATATCATATAATTATTAAAAACTGATTAATATAAATATTTATTTTTGCAGAAATAATCCTATAACTCCAATGCAGTAACTTCTCTTAACACTAAGATTTTATTCAACAGGATCTTTTATAATATCTGCAGGTGGTTTTGCTGGAGTAAGCACTACTAGTGCCCACAGAATTATTCATCGTGTTACGAACGCAATTGCCAGACTTCAAGCAGGTTTTATGAAATTTCCTACTACAAATAATGAAATAAAAAAACAACAATTGGAATTTTATAAAATCTTTCGATTTCCTAGAGTTGTAGGTTGTATAGATTGTACACATGTTCGAGTTCAATCGTTTGGTAAATACATAATTTTATTTATATTTTCATCATACATACCTATTTTGATAAACTATATAAATAGAAATGCTAGAAATTATTATAAGGTTTTAAACTTGTTTTATTTATTGTATTGTAGGTACTGAAAATGCAGAACTATTTAGAAATAGAAAGGGATATTTTTCTTTGAACGTGCAAGTTGTGACCAATAGTAATTTAGAAATTACTGATATAGTAGCTCGATGACCTGGATCAACACACGATAGTACTATTTTTAATAATAGTCGATTGCGAGGTACATTTGAACAAGGAATATATAGGGATGGACTGTTATTAGGTAATAGTGGTTACCCTATAAAATCATATTTAATGACACCATTAT